GCCTAAGACTTTAGATACTATATTAGTCAAGCTAATCCCTCTGTGATTATCACAGGAAGACTTGTCTCCCTTCTTGTATATGGGGATAATCAGTGACTTACACCAACCCGATGGGACTTCTTCTGATTCCCAGACGCTGCCTAGTACCTCAGTTAATCCGGACAGTAAGCTGTCTCCACCGTACTTAAATACCTCTGGAGTCATTCCATCAGGTCCCGCTGCTTTGCCTAGTTTCAGATTGGTGACAGCTTTAGTAACCTCAGTTAGGGACGGAGGACCTGTGTCTATATCCCATTCAGGGAGGTGTTGGATGCTCGGAAGGTTGAGCGTGGCTGTGGGCAAATTAAACTGCTCCTCATAATGCTCTTTCCAACGATCCAGTCGTCTATCCTGGGAGCTAATTATAGTGCCATTTTTTTCCGAGATTGTCTCACTAATGATTTGTCTTCTCCCACCCGTTTCCCTGATGAGTCCAAAGAGTTGCCTGGTGTTGCCTATCCTCGAAGCTTTCTCCATCTCTTTGGCTTTTGTCGCCCACCACTGTTCACGGTCCTTGCGGAGACTTTTCGTAAGTTTCCTCTTGTGCAGCTTTCGCTCCTCATTGAATTCGGAGCTCGCCGGAATAAGTCTTCTAGCATCTATCAGTTCGGATGAGGCGGTGGAGATCCAGTGGTTTTTACTCACCTTTGGGTTTACCTTATTCACAGCTTTTACAGCTGTATCTATGGCTGCCTGGATATTTTTCCAAGCTTCTTCAGGGTGAGCACAGCTGTCGAACACAGATATGTGTTTAGCTAGTTCTTCCTCAAATACGGATTTAGTTTCCTGATCGAGCTGGGGACGTGATGGTTTTACCGCCAGCTGTTTCCTACGTCCGTTCAGTCGTAAGCACACCCGAGCGCGGACCAGTGCATGGTCGGTATCTACGCACGTGTTCCAGAAGGAGCGACAATCTCCTACCGACCCACGCCAACGATAGCTTATTGCTATGTGGTCTATTTGTGTCCAGCGTTGGTTTGATGAAGGGGGTCTCCAAGTCAAACAGTGTCTCTCCTTGTGTTTGAAGTTAGTGCTTACAAGAAACAAATGATTATCAGAGCAGAACTGTAGGAGACGGTCACCGTTGTCGGTTCGCTGGCACGGAACTCCATAGGTGCCACCGACATCCTTCTCAGATTGACACAATTTCCCTACTTGAGCGTTAAAGTCACCAGCTAGAACGACTATGTCTGAGCGTTTAGCCTTTCGCACCAAACTAGACAGCTTTTGGTAGAACTCATCCTTCGTTTCATCTGAACTGCAGTCAGTGGGGGCGTAGGCGGAGATTACGAAAAGGCATCGGCGAGTAGTGCAGTCCTTCCTCCTTCTTACTGATCCGTTCAGGCGGACAGCACACATTCGGCTATCTACCGGGATCCAGTCAAGCAATGTCTTTTCTGCCCTAGTACTCAAAGCTATCCCTACGCCAGCTAATCCTCGTGAACTAGCTGTGGCATCTCCTGACACCCTCAAGGTGAATTTTGCAGATTCAACCTGTTGGCCAGGTGGGGTTAGGTGAATAACCACACTTGGGTCTTGTATGCGTGTTTCTGAAACACAGCATACATCAATGGCTCGTGATGCCAGGGTCTTGGCTAGTGATGCTTGTTGTCCTATTTGGCAAAGTGTCCTAACATTAAAAGCTCCTATATGAAATTGGTGGCGCGGCTTTAAGAGGCTGTCGGTGGTGGTTTTTTGGCTTCCATCGTTTTTAGTGGACGCAGGGTGGAGAGCTATCAAGTCGAGGAGTTGCATCAGTGGAAGGAAGGCAAGATGATAGAGATGAAGATGAAGACAAAGATGAGTGAGTAATAGAGAGGTTTCGCGTGCGTTTCGGATTGTGAGGGCGATTGTTACTTCCCGGCTGCCCACATCGTGGAAGTTGGTTGCGTGACTGCAGAGCCCATTGAGTCATTTCTGTTGCATATGTTGGGTGTAGACTCAATGAACCAGGACTCAGTGACCAACCACCTCTCTCTGCCTCCACCTACCTATAATACTTCCCAGAATCTTAACCCTTTCTCACCCTATTGTGTGGTTGTATGTTAATGCATGTAGTGCTGAGCCTTTCTCTGAATTACTTATCTTCTCTGGGTCAACCATTGTTACCTTGGCTAAATTCTTATGTTCCGCCAATCTGGACCCAATTAAACAAAATAATATAATTTACAAAATACCCTGAAATGACTGTGAGGTCAATGTTATAGGTCAAACTAGTAGATCGGAGGTAATCAGATTGACGGGACATAAGAATTTGGCTAAGATAAGAATGCAAATACCAGAAGTATGGAAGATATTATTACCGCCAGTCAGTCAAATCAGAACAGGATAATAAATAGTCTCAAGATTCTATTTCAATTCAAGCACATTACAACATTTTAACGAGTTGCTTATTATAACTATAAAAACACTCGTCTTATTTCCCATCTGATTGTATTTGGTCAATAACACTCGTATTATTATTTCTGAATGTACATTATCGTATATTGATTTTAAATCCAATATTTAATCGATTCCACACATGTATATAAATGAAAGTTGTGTGAGTGAGTACCTTGATATGATTATGAGTGGCGATAGTTTGTGCTGGAAACGTGGTCATCAGTTAATACTACTGTATGACAACAATGTGTGATTTATCAAAATAAAATCTTATCTATAATGGAGTTAGTTATAGATTTACTGGAAACTAGTGAGTTGTGGACAGATGCTTTGTCCTAGTGCCCGACTTTGAAAGTAGGCATTAATGATCTCACACCAGGTATCGAACCCAAACTGAGACAAAAAAAGTTTTCAGTACTCCTTAGTTTCCAATAGTTTTATAACTGATAACAATCTGTGATCGCGAGCACGAATAGCTCACTGCTAACTTCTGTGACTGCAGGCGGCACTGGGTGATGCTGAATCGAACCTCAGAAGGGACATGAGTCCTTTCAAGGTAGTTGCACATACGCCTTGCTGACTGACTGGTGAGTGCCAACTAGCACGAAACCTAGGTCAGACTGGGCTTCCTGTGGCCGATAGCCTCCAACAATCTAATATCATCAAATCAATGTGCACTGTGATGACGAGCTACCTAGTGGCATGGTGACCACATTGCAAACCTGACTGATAGAATTCAGTCTACACCAAACGAAGAACTAAACTTGTCACACTAGTTATTGACTAGTGTCCAATGGAAATATTTGAAATATGTCAAATCCCTACAAATTAATACTTGAAAATTAATCTCATACTCACTAGTAATTGATTCACTACAGGACAGAGTTGCTCGAAGTTCCAGTAAGAGGTGATGATCACAATGGCTCACTCGGTTGGATGTGAGGACAAATACTTGCCAGATGTTATTAGCTAGCGGTGGAGCTAAAAATCGTGATTGACAGAACTTAGAGGTTGGTAATCCATTGGATTCCCTCCAAGTGGATGAATGGTCTAATCGATTCCACACATGTATATAAATGAAAGTTGTGTGAGCGATTACCTTGATATGATTATGAGCAAAGGTAATAAATTGTTCTCGAAAGGTGGTTATTATCAGTAAATATCACTGTATGACAACAATGTGTGATTTATCAAAATAAAATCTTCTCCGTAATGAAGTTATACTCTACCACACTGGCCAAGTTTTAAAATTATATCAATGATCTATAACTAATGTCAATTCATGATCAAACCTAAAACCAATCCAATCTCTACATATCGACATTTGAAGTTTTAACTTCTCAATTCACCAGGAGAGTGTAGTATGTGTTACTGACAAGAATTTTATGAGTAGTATGCTGTGTGTATGTGTGTGTGTGTCTGATGTCTTCTGCAAGAATCTATTAAGTAGTACAGAGTAACAGATCAAGTTGTGTAAAGAGAAAGAAGGAAGGAAGACTATTGTGTGCAACAACAAATATAGGAAGCATGAAGTGAAGGCAAATGAAGCAGAGCACAAAGAGCACTTCTTCACATTAAAAAAAATTCTACTACTGAATACCACTGCCAGTTCTGCCAGTGGAACAGAATTAGAATCCATCAGCTTCAAATACATCAGATGGTTATCCGCATGCAATACTGATGAGTTGACAATTTAATTTAATTAATTTAATAATAATAATGACGACACCAACAATAAGGAATCTAAATCATCAGTAGTAAATCCATACAAGGAAGGAACCTCGGAAACCTTACACAGAATTCTTATCAAGGCAGGAATAAAAGTGGCTGGCATTCAAACCCCCCACAAACTCCATTAGAAACAGGCTTTGTCGGTTAAAGGATCAATCCTGTGGAGCCTTTAAAACAAAACAATTTAGTTTATGTAATACCCTGCCTGCAATGATTATCAGGTCAAATACATAGGTCAAACTCATAGAACAGGAGCAGTCAGACTACGTGAACATAAAAATTTAGCAGCGAAATCTAGATTAGTTGACCTGAATAAGATAAGAAATCTGGAGAATAGTTCAGCTATACCACTCACTACATGCAATTACACACAACCACACAATAGGATGGAATGGGATAAGGTGACAGTTTTAAAATCCAATGTAACAGCAGGGTGAAAGAAGAGATTGATAACAGAAGCTTTGTTTATCGAATCAACTGAAGTGAGTACATGTAATAGGAATGATTCAACACCTGTCCAGTCGGATATCTGGAAAATTTTACTACCCCTATAACGATGAATAGGAGAGAACAAAGAAAACTATAAAACTGAAGTTTCAAAGTCGTGTGATTATAATTGGTGGTGTGATTATGAACAGTAATAAATTGTGTTCGAAACGTCATCCAGTAAAAAATACTGCTTCACTGTGTGATACATCTAATAAACAAACTAATATGGAGTTAACACACGAAGCCAGATAGTCTACTGCTGACATATAAAATGGCGTTGACACAAAACAAGAATGCAAAACAAAAGGGAAACCCCTGAAAACCCCGATACCTCTACACATGCATGCATGCATACATACCTCTAAAATTTGACTCAATGGACTCGAGTTAAATTCTTTCTGAAGACAGTCGGTATTCGGTGAATAAGGGAAATCATTTGATGCATAGACCAACTGTAACGATTGACTGGGTTCATCAAGCAGCAAGGAGTCTGTATGCATTTGCATTGCTCTACCTATTTCAAAAAGAACAACAACAAAAAAGAAAACGAAAGCAATCAGAATGAAAATAAAGATGTTATTTTTTTATACTGATGGTGACTAGCAATGGAATCCAGGATGCATATTTCGTCCCGTTTGGAACTCGTCAGTTGCAATCCCGAGTGAGCCACGGCATCTCTATCGAGACTCAAACCCTGACTGTACCCGTCATTTAAAACGCCAAGGCGTTGTCCACTAAACCATTTGAGCCATGAGAGTAACCTCTTGTGCGACAGGCGTCAGTCATTATCCGATGAAGTCATTTTTCTGATTTCCCTATTGATGGATTAGACCTAAACGTCCGACCCACTTTGAAACTATCGAGAGGCAGTTCTCATGACCCGGATGGCCTAATGAAACGACAGGCACTGGGTTCGAGTCTTCGTGAAAACACCACTCACTCATTGGGGAATGCAGGCGCATCACGCAGATGACGAGTTCCAAATAAGACAAAATATGCATCCTAGATTTCACTACTAGTCACTCACCATTCATCGAACTAATTCAAGTTAATCTTCAGGCATCGTCAAAGCATTCATACTAGAAGCCGAAATGTCAGCAGAGGTCGAAGATTTCGGTCTAATCAATCAACGCGAAAATTAAAATCGATTTAAACAACAAATAATAATTAAAACAATTAATCCCTTTGATAAATTTGAATAAGGTATTAAGAAGACAAATTTCGCGAGATGATATCATCATTTCGTAGTTCCTTTACGACCGCTTTACATCTAACATCGTTAACAATAATAATAAAATAAAGTTCATGGCAATTACTCAGTTAAATAAAAAACGAAAGTACATACTAATGACCAATCATATTTTCAAATAGGTCATGTAGTCCGTGGTAGGCGAAGATTGAAGTCTGTTGATTTTTGTACACACAGTTTAGGCGGTATGTGATTAATCCCCCCAAAAGTGTTTCTATCACCTTCAATAACCTTGAATTAGAGGTATGTGACGAAATAATTGTGAAACAGTCATTATTATTGCTTTTGTGACCTGACATTCCAAGATAAGGCATACAAACAAATCGATGGTATTGCGATGGGGAGCCCTCTTGGGCCCCTGTTAGCTGATATATTCATGTCGAAATTAGAGAAACAAATGCAAGGTATGCTTGGAGAATTTATGCTATATAAACGTTTTTTAGATGATACTCTCATTATTGGGAATAATAGTAAATCTATTGAAAACTTTATTACCCCATTTAATCACATTCATCCAAATATCCGAGTGACTTCCGAACTCGAATCGAATAACAAACTCGGTTTCCTGGATATTACTATGATTAGGAGAAATGATGGAACGATTCAGCGCTCTATTATTCGAAAACAAACAAGGAGTGGACAATATCTTCATTTTACCAGTTTTGTTCCTCTCCAGTATAAACGTTCCCTGGTGAAATGTTTGTTCTCAAGGGCCCGAAAAAATAAATGCACGAGTGACACATTAATGGATGAGCTTCGACATATACGTTCAGTTTTATTAGCTAATGGTTATTCAGAAAACTTCATCAATTGTCACGGTAAAGAAAGACTACATTTCGAAAAGACAGCTTCTGTACCAAAGAAGGCTAGCTATCTTTATTAACCTAGCAATCAATGGTGACCAGATTATGCAGTTGACAGCTCAAAGACTTCGGTCAGCCATCAAAAACACATTCTACGCCACCACATCTCTTTTTCTCACATGCCGAACATCTTCGATCCCTGTACCTACGATTAAAAGACGAAATTCTGTGGACTCTACTTCAAACTGTATCTACAAGTTCACCTGCAGCTGCGGTGACACACACTGTATAGGTAGAACCAACAGAATGTTCCAATGTGGTCGCCGAAAAGAACATGTTCCAATTATTTCATCACATACCTCTAATTCAAGGTTATTGAAGGTGATAGAAACACTTTTGGGGGGATTAATCACATACCGCCTAAACTGTGTGTACAAAAATCAACAGACTTCAATCTTCGCCTACCACGGACTACATGACCTATTTGAAAATATGATTGGTCATTAGTATGTACTTTCGTTTTTTATTTAACTGAGTAATTGCCATGAACTTTATTTTATTATTATTGTTAACGATGTTAGATGTAAAGCGGTCGTAAAGGAACTACGAAATGATGATATCATCTCGCGAAATTTGTCTTCTTAATGCCTTATTCAAAAAATAATAAGTTTGTCATCTGTAAACAGACAAGAGAATACAAAGGTTTGGTAAACCATTAACACATTGCAGATCACATTTACAATAACGCTAGACACCAAAATATGATACAAAGCCATGATTCCATGTGACACCCATAGATTGAATGCTAAGAAAACACCCACAGAGTGAATAATATAAATTAATTAACTTCACGCACTTCGAGACGATTAACTAGCTTTAGTTTATGTACAAGGTGTCGATCGATGGCTTTTGTAATACAAGCCTGAGAAATTGTTAACATTAACCAAACCTAAGCGAAACTAGCATGCAATAATCTTGGTTTATATGTTGCCAACACAGATATGACATTTCGTATTGTCTAAACGACAAAAGTGTCGGAAAAAAAGACAACTGAAATTATCCCTAGCGAGGAAAATCATTTTTTTCATGATACATTATTCAAAAAATTTAAAGGTGGCACACAAATTTACCCCACTGTTAAACCGAATGATTACAAAACGACAAGCTTAGGGAACTGTGAACAGGTTTTTTGACTGACAATATTATTATTGTTCCCTTGGGTTCCTAGTGGAACACAGATCTTCAACTGCACGTCTCCACTTGCTTCTGTCTTGCTTTTGCTGTACTTTTCACCTGCATCCATCTATGTTAGTCCATACTCTTTCAACTCCTCTTCATACGATCTCCTCCATGTCACCCTTGCACTGATGACCTACTCGCCGCTTCCTTTTCGGGTTCCACTCGAGCAATGGCCTGACTCGCGCGCGATGCCACCCAGCTGCGGCCTCCTCAGCCAGTGTCCAATCCATCTCCGCTTTCTCCTGCATATTTGTTGGTCAGCGATTGCTTCTTCTTTTGTTTGTTCCCATAGTTTCTTGTTGCTGGTGATTTTTTCCGGCCCGGCCATCTGATCTTCAGTATAGAGCGATAGTTGACAGTTGTTGGTTGATAAAGGTCTGCAACAGGCTGTTGGTGGAAATATTCTTTGTGACCTGCCCGCCAAGTTTCTGATCCGTATAGAGGAGCTGACTGACTTGACGTTGTTTGTATTGAAAATCCGATCAAATTTTGTTGTTGATGCTGGCTGAATGACAAAGATTTCCAGATTGGTTTCAGGTTGATGAATGTGTTTCTCGCCTTTCCGATTCTCGCTCGATTTGACATCCTCGTCCGTTCCGACTTCCTGTAGTTGAGACAATTCTCCCTAGATAAGTGAGTGAATGAAGTAACCTCTTTCGAATCCCTCCCGTTGATGGTAATTGGCGCTGGATGTTTCTGCTGTTGTTGTTGTTGCTGGTGGTGGTGGTGGTGGTGGCAGTTGGTTATTTTCATAACCTCCATTTTGTCCATGTTAACTTAAAGTCTTGTCTTCGCCGGCTGCTTTTTCGACCAGTTTCTCGGTTTTTGCTTGTAAGTCTTCGATTTTGTGTGACGTCAAACATAAATCATTCACTCAAGGAATCCAGGTCTTCTAGGTTCTTCACGTCTGTCCGTCCAGGATATCCCTGTCTTCTCGTTTCCCATTCACTTTCTGACGCATAATCCAGTCCACCACAATTAGGAATATCATTGGTGATAGATAATAAGCACCCTTGTCTGACTCCTATGTTTACTCCAAACGCCTCGCTGAGTTTTCCGTTGTGGATCACCTGACATGTTCCGTTGTAGTACAGCTGTTGAATAAGGTTGATGAATATTTGGGGTACACCATAGTACTCGAGTAGTTTCCAAATTGCTTCGCAGTCAACGCTGTTGAAGGCCTTTTCAAAGTCTATAAAGTTGAGGTACAGCTTTGATTGCCATTTCATGCTTTGTTCTGTGATGATGCGTACAGTTGCAGTTTGGTCAGGACGTGATTTGCCTTTCCTGAATCCAGCTTGTTCTGGTCGGAGTTCTGTATCTGGTGCGTCCTTTATTCTGGACTGACATGGTGTTACTTTTTTCCGAGATTAAGGTTCCTTAAAGAATGCACGAAGCTCTCCATCCTATGAAAATGACGTTAAGCAAATTCTGATAGATACCTACAGTTGGACAAAGCATAAACAACTCAGAACAACTAATCGATACATCTACATCGATTTTTATAGACCCAATTACATAATCTCTCCTTCCAATTTAGAACGAAATACTAGAAAACGAAGTTTCTATAGAGTAACTGTTGCAATAGGTCCTCAAAATCTCAAGCCAAAAGTGACAAATCAAAGTTTACAATGGGTAGATGGGTCATTTAGTCTTACGCAAACCTATCGAATTCAGAAATTTAAGAATATTTTCAGCCAAGCATGCCATGAACCAGCTAGAATTTTATATTTAACGGATAAGTTAGTTAATTACTTGAGACATCATTATTGCTTGAAAGCATTGTTACGAGGAGCGCGCGATAAGTTTCACTAATAGTTTGTTACTTCATTTCATTTATTGTGTAAGGACTGAGGTACTGCATGGGCGCCAAGACCATAGCAGGTGGTTTTCTTGAGGGACCGCCTCCCCCAAGCCTTTGACTTGGAGTCAAAGCCACAAGGCAGCAGAGCAGCGTCAGGAGCTGCATTCCCATGGTTGCCAGCGACCAATAATGTAGGTTCATACGCCATTTGATCCGATTGGATTCTGGAGCCCATGTACCCCACGGTAACTGCTTTTAGTCTAACCGCTATCCAAACAACCTTCCTGACAAGGTAGGACCTGCAGGAACATGCGTCCCAGCCAAGTTTAGCTTCTTAAGTTACTGCGATATTCAAGCCCGACCACTACGACAAGGCAGCAGTTGTCGGTCGGGATTTAAAGGATACAGTAAGACATGGTGACCTCTATGGGGGGGGCTATTTCTACCTGAGAAACCTGTTTTGTTGATCAGCCAAACGTTGAAAAAAATAGGTTTGAAAGACGCAAATATGTACACGACTCAACATCCATGAATAGATTTGTCTATCACTATTCGGTGAGACATACTTAACAATCACTTGAGTTACCATGGAGTTAGCAATGTGGCACACCTATTGCTTTGAGGACTAATCACACTCTTTGGCTACTGAAACATGATACGGTGGAGTAGAATTCGAACCTGTGACCTAGTGACTGGAAGTCGGGAACCCAGACACCGCTGAGTTACAGCTCCTTAGCGGAAATGGAATATCTGAAAATCTCAGAACAAATCAACACTACACACAGAAATGAACTCATGTTTACCCAAATATCGACTTTTTATCAGCTCAGTGTTTGCTTTATTGATACAGATGCATGCGTGGTATGACATATAATTATGCGTTGCATAACATCGGTTATCAAATGTTTGTGTGTAACGCCAATTTGGTACAATATGGACGCTAACAGATGCGTCACACAGAAACAATAAAACGCGCAACTAAAGCAAAAATAACAGTTTAAGGATGGCATCATTACTTCATGTTACTTTCAAAAGAAGTAGAATGTAACATGTATTAATGGACTGAGCCCTAACTCACTTCAGAGATTCAGCGATTCACTTGCCACCAGGGAATAATATCGTCGACTTAGAATAGGCAGACGATATAGTCCTTCTAGGTGAGGACGCTGACAAAGTAGCGCATAGTCTTCCGAACACCTTGAGCTGCAATCTACGAATGTTTCGCATGCGATTCGCTCCCGCCAAATGCAAGACATTACAGGACTGGACTACACTGACTCCTAGTTTAGAAATAGGCAGTGAAGTGGTAGAGGAGCATGTTGACCGCTTCACTTGTTTGAGAAGTACATACAGCCAACTCTAATGGATTGATATCTGACGAAATCTCAATACGGATACAGAGGGCTAGTTTCGCATATGCCAGTTCACGCCGTCTCTGGAGTAGACGTGATATCCGGCTGGCTGGCTGGCTGGCTATCGACCAAAGGGTATGTGTACTGCTCATCAGTTCGCTCCGTCCTCCTTTATGGGTGTGAGCGATACCTGGCCACTGAGAGTGGAAGACATGAAAAGCCTGGCTAGCTGTCTTCGATCATAGGTGCCTGTGCTCTTTCTACATCCCGTGTGAAGTGGTATAATAAGGTGAGCAATACTGAGGTTAGGCATCGGTCGAGTGATAAGTAGATAGGAGGTGAAAGCAATCGACGAGGCTGTGAAGCTACATCGACTGAGATGGTTAGAACATGTGTTACGCATACCCGCCTAGTCATCGCCTTCCTCGACCGATAGGCAATGTTAGCTGACAGAGGATCAGAATAGAAAAGAGCTAGCCAGCGGTGGTCAAATCAAAACATGGCTTCATCAGTCAATAAAATGCATAACAGTTAGTTTAAGCCAGTCACGTAGGAAGGTGTAGACTTCCTGACTGGTTGAGGTCCTCGCGACGGTAAAAACCAATGAAGGCTGGAAACAATTGATGATATGGCTCAAAATTGTTCTCAGTGATGGCGCAGATACATCCACTCCTCGTGACCTATGATTTCCAATGAAACTACATTGTTCTTCGTTACTTGCATTTCTTTGTCTCACGCCTCTGTTTACTATCTCTATTATGCATTTCTTCTACCTTCTTCTCTTGTTTTGTGTGCTACATGGAGAGTGGCGACTTGAACTGCCGCATATTGGTTCAAAGAACGATTTGGTCGGTAATCGGATATCTCGTCTACGCCAGAGACGGCGTAAACTAGCATATGCAAAACTAGCCCTCTGCGGTTTGAGTAGCCTGTATGGTAATTAATGTACAGTAGGAGACACAAAATGTCAGAAGAAGAAGAACAACGACAATAACAACAACAACAACAACGAGGAAAAAGCGTTACTCACTTGTTGATGAAGTATTATTATGTTCATGCAAAACTTTATCTGGTGAATTAACAAGCTGAGAAGCTGAGGATATTTTTCGCGTAGGAATAATACTTGATGGACTTAACATAGTCCAACTAGTATTACTATAAACTGGACTGATGAGTGATTCTTTCTAGTAGAAAAGAAAGGCAATAAACATATATAATACACAAAGTGATAAGCATATTAACAGTTATTATTGATACAATTGGTCGATGGTGGCTAGCAGTGGAATCCAGGATGCGCATTTCGTCCTATTTGGGACTCGTCATCTGGATGTACCTGCATTTCTCAGTGGTAATCAACTCGGAAAAAACATAACTAACTCTTACAAACCAAACCATAGAAAATTAATCTGATGCTCGCTAGTGACTTGTTACAGGATAGAGTTTCCTGGAGTTCTAGCGAGAAGTCGTGACCAGTGAGGTCCAATTAGATGTCATGTGTGTGGATGGATGTCCCACCAACGACAATGGTTGGGGTCGCGCTAAATCACGAATTGGTAGAAGTCAGAATTCATGAGCCATTGAGGAGTTGGGTCCCAGTGGCTGAATGGTACACGAGCTTGTCTTGTCACTGGAAGGTTCTGGGTTGAAACCCGTGTGGTGGGTGCATACTGTCGATGATTCCCAAGAGACTAGGATGAAACAGCTGTCCAGTACTCTTTGTGGCTGGCGTTCAATGGTTCTCTAACTGATATCACTCCGTGATCAACTCGGAAGAAATATTTACTTTTCAATTAGATCCTCATCTCACTCTGGCTCTACTCTAATATGACACGTATTGCATTTTTATTACAATACACAACAGTTTACCAATCAGGTAGTGGCACTGATATGTTTGTTAACAATAATTAGTCATTTCAAACACTTAGTTCCCTTTATGAATTTAGTTAGACAAAGCAATAAGAAAACGTAATTTGTGTGGATTGTGTAATGTGTATTTACGCAACACATTTCGAACAATCTGATCACACACAGACTTGTCATAGGAATATATATGAAATTAATAAAGAGGTGAGAAAATAGACTATTATTCAGTCAAAATTTTAAGGCGTAATTTTGTTCCTTTTCATTTTTAGTACAATCAATTTGGGATTTTACAACCCATTTGTATGGTAGATACGGTCAGAAAAAAATTAGTCCCCACCCATCACCTTGATTTTTACGTGATTCTTCACAGACCTTTTTAAAAGACACTACAGTGAACTTAACATCACATCAGACTGTCATAGAACAGAACGGTCATCAAACTAACCCATCAATATTTTTGTTCTTAGACAATTAGATATGATATTAGAAAGTTGGAGGCAATCGGTCACAGGAAGCCTTGACTAGACCTAGGTTTCGTACTCACCAATCAGTCAGCAAAACGGATCTGCAACCCTGAAGGAACTCATGTCCCTTCTGAGATTCGAACCCACGTCACCCAGTGCCTCCTGCAGTCAGAAACGAGTGCCAACTAGCACGAAACCTAGGTCCTGGCAAGGCTTCCTGTGGCCGATTGCCTGCAACTATCTAATATCATCAAATCAATGTGCACCGTAATTCCATATTAGTTTGATTATTAAATGTATCACACAGTGAAACAGTATTGGATACTGGATGACGTTTCGAACACAATTTATTGTTCATAATCATATCAATTTTTGTCACACGACTTCGAGATTTAATTTTTATAGTTTTCTCTGTCTTCTCCTATTTGTTGTATGGGCAGTAGAATTTTCCATATATCTGGGACAGGTGTTGAATCATTCCTATTACATGTATTTGCAGTTGATTCGATAAACAAAGCTTCTGTTATCAATCTCTCCTTCCAGCCTGTGACATTAGATTTTAAAACTGTCATCTTATCCCATTTCATCCTATTGTGTGGTTGTGTGTAATTGCATGTGGTGCTATAGCTGAACTACTCTCTAGATTTCTTATCTTATTCCGGTCAACCAATCTAGATTTAGCTAGGTTTTTATGTTCGGCTAGTCTGACTGCCCCTGTTCTACTAGTTTGACCTATGTATTTGACCTCACAATCATTGCAGGGTATTAGATAAACTAAATTGTTTTGTTTTAAAGGCTCCACAGGATTGATCCTTTAACCGACAAAGCTTGTTTCTAATTGAGTTTGTGGTTGGTTTGAATGCCAGCCACTTTTATTCCTGCCTTACTCCTCGGAAACCTTGCGCAGAATTCTTAACAAGGCAGGAATAAAAGTGCCTGGCATTCAAACCAACCATAAACTCAATTAGAAGCAAGCTTTGTCTATCGAATCACCTGCAAATACATGTAATAGGAATGATTCAACACCTGTCCCAGATATATGGAAAATTCTACTGCCCATACAACAAATAGGAGAAGACAGAGAAAACTATAAAAATTAAATCTCGAAGTCGTGTGACAAAAATTGATATGATTATGAACAATAAATTGTGTTCGAAACGTCATCCAGTATCCAATACTGTTTCACTGTGTGATACATTTAATAATCAAACTAATATGGAATTACTTAATACCACAGTGCCCAAGTTTTACACATATATTAACAATGTGCACCGTGATGGCGAGCTACCTATTGGCATGGTGCCCACATTGCAGACCTAGGCATTATTTTCTTCTTCAATGTGAGCTTAAATAGATGCCTCTTATTTACATACATCTACATTTAAACACGATGGAGATGTGTACCTCACGTGGATGAAGTCAGATTTGAAGTATGTCCACACTGAAGACTGGTTGTTGCTTAGAGTAAGACAATGAAAGCTTCGCAACTAAACCATCTATCTGTCTGTCTGGATTCAACATAGAACTTGGCACTGAAGTGCACCAGTTCGAGTTGCCACGTTCCAAATAACACACAAAGGTAGACAAGAAGATGAGTGAAGAGAATCAATACAGTCTGACAAGTATAAGAGTGAAGCAGAATGGGTAATGGTAGAAAGGAATATGAAAGATTACAGAGACTGAATACATCTCCGCTGGCCATTGACAACGATTTTGAGCCATGTCTCCAGCCATTGATTCTTAGAGCCCCGAGGGCGAAAGCAGCTCGAGCTTTTCGGATTCGTGCTGAGATTTCATCGCCAATCAGTCCGTTGGTGATACTGATACAACTTCCCAAATAGGTGAAGTGGTCAACATGTTCTATCACTTCACTCCCTATCACTAAGCTAGCAGTTGACGTAGTCCAGTCCTGTAGCCTCATCATCTTACATTTTACAGAGACGAATCGCATGCCAAACATACGAAGATTGCTGCTCAGCTCAAGGTGTTCAGTAGACTCTTCATTTTGTCATCATCCTCCCCCAACAGGACTATGTCATCTGCATATTCTAAGTCCATAAGACAAGTCGATTCCTGAGTCGTTACGTTCAGTTAAGGATACTTCCATTAGCATATCTATGATGAAGTTAGACAGGAATGAGGAAAGTGGACATCTCTGTCGGACACCACTGGTTGTTATCAATTCAAATGACAATTCCCCATAAGCCCTTACACGACTACGTGAGTTTGAATAGAGTGCCTTGATTATAGTGCAATGTACTTTCTTGGCACTCCCTTCACAGTCAAACATTGCCATAGTACCTTTCGATCCATGGAGTCTAAGGCCGCCTTCAAGTCAAGAAATATGGCAATTGTTGGACACCGAAAAGTGTGTCTATGTTGTGGAATCTGTCGGAGAGTGAAGATATGATCTATGCACCCTCTACCTGGTCTAAAGCCTGCTTGATTTTCCCACGTTGACCATCCATCTAAGAGAATATGACTACATTTGCTAGACTGCATGCGTAATCGATCTAATGCAAGACCGGAGTCACATCACAATCTACAAAAGAGACAGTAGTGTAACGGTAGAAGACAAGGGGCTCCGTGCTTAATTTTTCTACATAGCCAAATTATGTACACCTTCTCTCTTCAAATCATCATTTGCACAGATCTTCTGTGTTGTACCTGCTACTTCTGTCCTTCGTATCATGTTTTTCCGATGTTTATATTTTTCCACAACGCTAAATCATTTGCTTCCTGTCACGTCTAATCTATCTCCCCTGCTATTTGATATTTTTTGCTGATAAATATATATACTACTGATAAATCTTACCAGTAGTACACACCACAGTATACTTTCCGCATACGTTCCAATGATGATTAAGAACACTTAATTTATGTACATAAATCTACTGAAACCAGGAGGCACAATAATAACAGAAGACAAAGATAAATGAAACTGAGTAAATATTGAACAAACTGGTTAGCACTCACACGAGGTGTGCAACATAGATGGCACTGAAATAGAGACCAAGTCAGAAATTAAATACCTTGGCGTCATTCTATCTGCTGATCTTTCCTGGTCGTCTCATATCTTGATGATTTGTAAGAAAATATTCCGTCTTACCTTCTACATCAAGAAGTTAAGACATTCTGGTGTAACCCAAACCTTACTCCTACGATTCGTTAACTCTTGCATCCTGCCTATTATTCTCTATTGTTCCTCGTTAGTTTTACCAGGCCTACTGAAGGACTATACCTTATTACACAGGATGTTAAAGGTTGTCAGAATGGCAACCGACGTGCCACTTAACCAGCTTGTTAATATTCTGGTCGACAGGCACTTGGACTCATGCGAAAAATGGGCGAAATCCATTCTATCTAACTCACACCACCCTCTCCATTCACAACTCTCCCCTTGTATCTATCTCATCAGGCACAACCAGAAGCCTATATAGAAAACTATGTGCTTGCACTAGTAAGTACAAAAACTCAACCATACCCTACTTAGCTCATTAGGCGTGATACCTATAACTTATTAAATAGTCAGTAGAACAACTGAATCTCGTCTTTCCAATTCATATCATGTATAGGTACGTTTTCTTTCTTTCTTTTCCTTTTCTATCTCTTTTTTGTTTCTGTTATTTGCTGTTTTGTTTCTCTCTTCCTTACAAACTCTATTTAAAACATTCTTCTTCGTTCTTTCACACTCTGTATATCTCGACATTTTCCTTACCGCTTACGCCAGTAAATATGCTAGTATCTACTTTCCTAACACCTTCAAACACTCTGTTCAATTTTGGCTTTGCTACCGACATGTTGTTGTCAAATCTAACCGAGATTATCCTTAACCTATGTAGAATTTTATGTATTGTTAATGTACTAACTGGATGCAATACTGTATGTAGTGAAATGCTGAGAATTCCATTCTGTATCACAAGTACTGTTTTGGAATAAAGCAAATTATTATTATTATTATACTGAACAATTCACCTTGATGAAAAGCGAATTGTTTAAATAATTGTAAACGTGTTTTTTTTATCTAAAGAACACACTTTCAAAGTTTGCATTGTTACGCAAGATAATTTTTATGGAGCCAAAAAAGGTATTTTACACCAGCATATTCAAAGTAAAACTAAGAAGCGTAAGACAAGCTGCTTAAAAACTGAAGACAATATCGATTACTGAAGAAACTTTGGCGAGTAATAAGGATGAGTTAGCTAAATTGATAAATACCTTATGACTTATTTACGTACATTATTTAATCAATCCTAGAGAGTGGAAGTTGTAACCCGCAAAGCTTGATTGTAAGGTTTGCGAATTTAGTTATGTATGATGTTAATTGACGCACTTAGCATAAAGGACAAGATTAGGATTTCTGAAACAAATGTCAAAGTAGTCAGTGCTTCTGTATGGCTTAGAAATTTGGCGCACACCTTCACCAAAAGTACTTCCAACTGGTTATTACTGCAGACTTTCATCAAAAGCTGCATTCTGTGACTCAATTCATGGGCCATTGGATCGGGTCCCAGTGGCTTAGTGGTCTACGAGCTCGCTAGCCTTGTAACCAGAAGGTCCTGGGTTCGAACTCCGCAGTGTGGGTGCGTAATGCTGAAGAGTCCCACATTAGACTGGAGAAAAAGATGTCCAGTACTCCTTGGCGGGTTTTCCAATGGTCCTCTAACTGATGTCAGCTCATAATGAAATCCTCCAACCAATGACTCAGTAGTGAATATGAGATAACCAGTCAGAAGGCATTAACAACAAGAAACTCTGCCAATGAATCAATCAAGAACCAATTATCCAACGACGGAGATGGATCTGACACACACACACACACACACTGTGAAGACCGTCAAGTGACATCATGCGCCAGTCAGACCTCCGAGTGGAATCCTATTAGGGAACGATGAGTTGAGAATTTGAGGATAACGTGGAGGAGATCGTGTGAGGAGACGGTGACAGCTGATAGGCAATCATGCAGCCAGCTTAAGAGGACTGTAGAAGACAGAATGAAATGAAGATGTGTTGTTGAAGCCGTATGTTCCACTTGAAACTTAACGGAACAATAATATAATGTGAATTCAAGTAAGTAAAGTGACGAATTTTCTGAGTGCAAACATGCACAAAATTTAGATCAATGGATTCCACCTGGTCGAAATTCCGTGTCTAGTACACGAATCAGATGAGATCTTACAATTTAACAAAAAATGTTAGAATCGTCATCTAAGAGGCCAACCAAATATATATCACGGAATATACACATTGGGTCATAGGAGTAATTAAGAAGACAATTGCAGCGAAGAAAATTTTCTTTTCTTTTTCTTAAAAGGAGACCGAAAACGTGTATATAGTTCAGTGACAGAACATCTATCTGGTCAATTTAGGACACTCAGCGCCTTTCGAAAAATCCTTCAAAGTACTATACACAAGATTCAATCAAACCTATCAAAGAGAGTGAAATTAAGACATCTGGGCATAGCCAAGGCACTATCTATACAATAGCACAAACTCACGACTTGTATCCAAAAGAAATACGTCCAACCCTTGTCCTTACCATGGCCATCATAAACACGTAATTCTTTTAGTAATGACCATCCCGTGGCCTTTCTTATCCAAACTTCCTGTTTATTCATTTATTTTCAAGTTTTTCTTAATCCCTATTTACACTACCATATTTTCATATCCGAACTTGTCTATTTTGTCATTTTACTATTTCTACATATTTCTACAATCCCTGACTGTATAAACAATTATTCGTCACATTAGTTTTTTTATCCAAACATCCTGTCTATTTTTGTGATTTCTACATTTTTAACCCCCAATTGCACAATGTCAATATTCTCAGTAATTATGATGCTACTCTGTTTGAATTTTATCCATCCCTCCCTCTGTTTATTATGGCATTTTAGTTCCTAATTGTAATTTTTATTATTTTGATTTAACATTAGTAACTAGTGTGATGTGTCTAGTCCTCTTTTTGGTGCAGACTGAATTCTATCAGTCAGGTTGTAATGTGGCCACCATTCTGCGTAGCTCGCCATCACGGTGCACACTGATTTGATGATATTAGATGGTTGGAGGCAATCGGCCACAGAAAACCTTGGACCTAGGTTTCGTGGTAGTTAGCACCCACCAGTCAGCAAGGCGTATCTGCGACTGCCTTGAAGGAACTCATGTCCCTTCTGAGGTTCAAACCCGCGTCACTCAGTGCTACAGTCAGAGACGTCACCACTGAGGAACTATTCGGATCGCGATTGACCACCTGTAGGACTGTAGTGGATATTTTGATTAGACACTTGCAACTAGTGTGGTGTGTCTAGTCCTCCCATTGGTGCAGGAGGTCAATCGCGAGCCCGAATAGCTCCTTAGTGGTGACGTCTATGACTGCAGGCAGCACCGAGCGACGCGAGTTCGAAACTCAGAAGGGACATGAGTTCCTTCAAGGCAGTTGCAGATACGCCTTGCTGACTGACTGGTGAGTGCCAACTAGCACGAAACCTAGGTCTTGGCAAGGCTTCCTGTGGCCGATTGCCTCCAACCATCTAATGTAATTTTTATTAATTTAACCCTTAGCCGAAAATTATTCTGGAACTTTCCCATCCATTTGATATAAATACACGAATGCACAGTCTAGATGATGACTTCGTCGGAAGGAAAATTTTCTTCGCTGCAACTGTCTTCTTTATATATATATATATATATATATATATATACATTTGTAAAGGCTTACTTTTGTTAAACTGGATACTTTCGACAAAGAACGAAATCGAGCCAGAGCACGTTTGAATAATTCATCAACAATTAAATATCGTAGATTAGCCATTCTTTCTTCATTAGTTAATTTGACGCCTTTGTATTTAGCTTTTGTATAGTTGTTCATTGAATCAATCATAGGCAAAGAATTTAATTTATCTATATCTATATAAAAATTGGTTTAGAAGATGAAGGGAATGTGGACTCACTTGAACAGGTCGAGGAAGAGAATACTGTATCAAAGGGTGGTGTATTCCTTTGATTTGTTCTACTGCTGCTGTTGTTGTTATTACTATTGTTATTATTATTATTATTATTATTGTTTAATTTCGATGGACAATTGCTTTCACTACAACCTTGGGGTAGATGAGATCCACACGCCTATCAAAAAAAAATAAGAAGAAGAAGAAGAACACAACAATGAAATTTAGTCCTTTATCTGTCTGTCTGAATTCAACATAGAGCTTGGCACCGAAGTGCACCAGTTCGAGTTGCCACGTTCCAAATAACACACAAAGGTAGACAAGAAGATGAGTGAAGAGAATCAATACAGTCTGACAAGTATAAGAGTGAAGCAGAATGGGTAATGGTAGAAAGGAATATGAAAGATTACAGAGACTGAATACATCTCCGCTGGCCATTGACAACGATTTTGAGCCATGTCTCCAGCCATTGATTCTTAGAGTCCCGAAGGCCCCGAGGGCGAAAGCAGCTCGAGCTTTTTGGATTCGTGCTGAGATTTCATCGCCAATCAATCCGTTGGTGCTAATACAACTTCCCAAGTAGGTGAAGTGGTCAACATGTTCTATCACTTCACTCCCTATCACTAAGCTAGCAGTTGACGTAGTCCAGTCCTGTAGCCTCATCATCTTACATTTTACAGAGACGAATCGCATGCCAAACATACGAAGATTGCTGCTCAGCTCAAGGTGTTCAGTAGACTCTTCATTTTGTCATCATCCTCCCCAACAGGACTATGTCATCTGCATATTCTAAGTCCATAAGACAAGTCGATTCCTGAGTCGTTACGTTCAGTTAAGGATACTTCCATTAGCATATCTATGATGAAGTTAGACAGGAATGAGGAAAGTGGACATCCCTGTCGGACACCACTGGTTGTTACCAATTCAGATGACAATTCCCCATAAGCCCTTACACGGCTACGTGAGTTTGAATAGAGTGCCTTGATTATAGTGCAATGTACTTTCTTGGCACTCCCTTCACAATCAAACATTGCCATAATACCTTTCGATCCACGGAGTCGAAGGCTGCCTTCAAGTCAAGAAATATGACAATTGTTGGACGCCGAAAAGTCTTTTATGTAGTATTGGGAAAGCTAATGGGAATAGTTACCAATGTGGATTATGATCTTATAACACAGTCCTCTAGCAATGCAAAATCAGTAACTTTCAAAAACACAAAATAATAGTGCAAAGAATATCCTTTTCGATAACTTCCTCTTCTGATTCTACAGTTATATGCATGTTTATATGCATAGAATATTCGAGATTAGTAGTCAATAACAATATTAGTGTTTTTCAAATAATAACGATTTGTAAAGTAAGATCACAACGGAATTAAAGTTCATTAAAGACGCTTAAATTATGATGATAATAATAATAAAGATAAAATAGTAAATAAAATATCAACTAAAATTAGGAAAATTCCACAAAAATTCAGGATAATTCAAACTTAGATGGCTAAGGTAAGGACATTGTCTGAACTAACTTCTTTTGGATGCATAAATTAGGCTTGTTAATGTGGATCCCCACAGCCTCAACAATATTTAGTAGTCGAAATCTTAAGGCAAAATTGAGATTCGTAGGTATGCAGTAAATGACTCTGAAAGCATGGTTAACATCAATCTTGTGTTCTGTATCCACAAGATGATATGGAATAGCACTACGAATAGATTTTGTTTGTCTTTTATTTAACCGCACAGGATGATGTTCGAAAGTTCGACCGGAAACACGCCTAATTGTACGGGCTATGTAACTGGCTCCCTCTACAGGAGCAGTTAAATTGGTAGATACACATGGATGAAGCGAAATTAGGCAGTTTGTATTTTACTCCCGAACGCAGAAGAGGAGTGGTTTTAAAGATACAGCGTAATTCAGCAGCAGGGAATGCTGATTTTACCGCATTTCTAATGCACTGTGTTAGTATCTCGCTAGTGTTGTCCCCAAGGAACTGCACCTGTAAGAATAAGGCCTTTTTAGGAACTGTTGGTAACTTCGGCTGCTTTGGTTTCAGATTCAGATTCTTATCAATAAACTTTTCTGGATAACCGTTTTCACTCAGCAACCGTTTAATATTATTCAGTTCTTCATCAAGACATTCGTCCGAGCAAATCGCTCTTGCTCTGTGAACCAGGCACTTTACCAAATTGCGTTTGTATTTCAAGGGCACAAAACTGAGAAAATATATGTACTGGCCCGTTGATGTAGGTTTTCTATAAACACTTCTTCTTATTGTACCATCCTCTTTTCTGGTCATAAAGACGTCTAAAAATGGAATACTAGAATCTTTTTCTTTCTCAATGGTAAAATTTACTGCAGGATGTACCTCGTTAAATTTATCCAGGATGCTCTTTGCTTCCTTCTCGTTTTTCATAATCAAAAAAGTATCATCCATGTACTGACAATAAAATTCGAGTTCACTAACAACATTCTTTAGAGGCCCATTTTCTAGTTTCGCAAGGAAAATGTCGCCTAGAATGGGTCCTAGTGGTGACCCTATTGCCACACCGTCAATTTGTCTATATAGTTCCTTATTAAATAAAAAGTGGACATTTATTGTAAATTTCAAGAGAAGCTCTTTCATAAAAGATATAGGGATGCCAACATCGATGTTTCGTCTTTTGAGTTCTTCGCATACAAAGTCCACTGTTTCCATAAGTGGTACATTGGTGAATAAGGAAGATACGTCAAATGATATCATGAATTTATTGTCAACCTTTAAATCTTTTATCCTTTCCACAAATCCGAAAGTATCCTTTACACTGTGTTTCACCAACTCGGTATGAAGTGGCTGTAAGATTTCGACTAGCCATTTGGCTACAGGATGGCATCGCGAATTTAACATATCTAATACTGGTCGAAGCGGTACACCATCTTTGTGCACTTTAGGCGACCTATATAGTCTTGGTGTAAAAGTTCCAGTGGGTTTAAAGGGTGTGTACTGACTCTGTGAGATGAAGCCTTGTTGTTTCAATCGTTTCAATGTTTCCGATAACTGCTTCTCTATCCTTTCAAATGGATCCAGAGAAGAGGAACTTTTTTGGAATTTTTGATTATCACTAAGAATGGTAATTGCATTGATCATACTTTACAAATCGATATTATTTAAAAAACACCAACATTGTTATTGACTACCAATCTTGAATATTTTGTGTATATAAACAAATACACATATAATTGTAGAGCCAGAAGAGGGATTTATCGAAAAGGATATTCTTTGCTCGATTATTTTGTGTTTTATAGGTGTCTGAACTTTCAAAAAATCAAAAAATACTCAAACCGAAAGTTCAGTCTCTGTGTGTCTGTCTGGATTCAACATAGAACTTGGCACCGAAGTGCAGCAGTTCGAGTTGCCACCTTCCAAATAGCACAGAGGTAGACAAGAAGATGAGTGAAGAGAATTTATAGAGTTTGACAGATATAAGAGTGAAACAGAATGGGTAATGGTAGAAAGGAATATGAAAGATTACAGAGATTGAATACATCTGCGCCATTGACAACGATTTTGAGCCATGTCACCTATTGTCTCCAGCCATTGATTCCTAGAGTCCCGAGGGCCCCAACCCGGGAGTCTGCATCTCCCTACCTGACTCAGTTTAACTGTCAAGGATTTCATGGATTGATGCCATGTTTTTGTTTGGCCACCACTGGCTCTTTTCCAACCTGAACCTATATCAGCTAACAATGCCCGTCGGGGGAGGCGGTGGTTAGGCAGTAAATTATTAGAGGAGAAATCTTCATCTCAGAACGATGAAATCAACAAGCCAAAGTCAACGGCGGTTGATAAAACAAAGTGGGTTATCAATCTCTCAACACACATATATTAAGTCCTACAGAAATAAGTGTATTAGATAGAAAAAGGACTAAATTACAACGTAGCGGTAGACAAGCTGAAACCAGAGGATGTCATCCCTAAAATAGAAATAGCACTAAGTGAGATAGACAAAATAGCGGCTGACGAAGTACGGGCACAATGTGCACTTACATTAAAACGATAGAAACGTGGAAAGCCTAACCAAACAAAGCCAGAGACAGAAGCCCTAAAACACCTTAAGAATAACAATAATATAGTAATCACAAAGTCAGACAAAGGAAATGCAACAGTAATATTAGACAAATCAAACTATTTGGACAAGGTGAATACTCACATACAAACAGAACCATATGAGGAAATTAATAAATCAATAGACACAGTTATGAATACGGTTGAGAAATCCACATCGGAGCCTATACGCCGAATGAAGCCGTTTCTAGATGAGTCTAAATTAATGCCCAAAACTAATAAACCCAGTAGGATGTATGGTGTTGGTAAAGTTCAAAAGTCAGGATACCCTATTAGGCTTATAGTTGATTTTAGAAATTCAGCTACTTATGAATTATCTAAATATTTAGCTATGGTATTAAATCCCCTTAAAAGCCATTCAAAATCTGGACTAACAAATTCTTATGAACTAAAACATAGATTAGATAATTTAAAATTAGATAACGGATAAAAAATGGTTAGTTTCGACAGCGTTATGGCTATAAAGGCAGTCAGAAACGAACTTATTTCTGACCAAGAACTTGAACTTACAACAAAATTGTCATTTGAGGACATAATGCTGCGAGTTCATCAGCTATGCCTGACTTCCATAGCATTTAAATTTTAGGGGAAAATATGCAAATAAACTGAAGTTGTTATGGGGTCATCAATATCCCCGGTTGTGGCAGATATATATTCATGGATAGGTGGGAAAACATAGCGATTGAAATGTTCAGCTCCACACGCCAAAAGTATGGTGTAGATATGTACATGACACATTCACTGTACTTAGAACACAGGCTATAGATAGATTTTTTGAACACATTAACTCAAAGATGGAGGCAGTTCGGTTCACTTATGAATTGGAAAGTCAGGAAGGCGAGCTTACAATGTTAGACTGTAGCGTAAAAAGGAAAGAAGATTGGAAGGTAAAGTCTTGTGTTTACAGAAAACCCAGACATTCAAACAGATATTTGGATTTCTGACCATCCCGTCCTATGTCAGTAAAAATAGGATTGCAGACAAAACACGTAGATCGGCGAAGAGTCTCTTTTCGCCGGCCAATTCATTTTCTTAGTTGTACAATCGCAAATATATGCATTTTTGTTCTGTATGTATGT